CTCGTCCGTGGTGCCCGATGTGCTGGGCTCGGCCCCCGGGGGGAAGTCCTTGAGCTCTGTCTCCTTGTCAATGATGACCCACTCCTTGCTGTCGAAGTCCTCCTCCTCAGCCAGCGGCACCGAGCGGAAGGCGTTGCTCAGGGCCTCCTGTTCCACGGAGGCCGACACGTCCATGCGGCCGCTGGCCTGCCGGTCGGCCTGGCCCGTGTCCACTGACAGCATCTGGGCCGGCTGTGAGGAGCAGGCCTGGCGCGAGGGTGAGCCGGGCAGATCCATTCGTGACCTGCAAAGCCAGCCAAGTGGGGCTCAGTGCCAGCCTCTCAGGAGCCCCCAGGACTCCACACAGGCGGCAGGGTGGCCCGCGACCTCTGGGCCCTCCTGACCACGGCACCTCTCCCACCCTGGCAGCGGCCCCGTCACCTGCTGGGTTGTCACCCTCTGCCCTCACTCCCAGTAAAGCTCTCATTCATTCACTCACACATTCGTTCGACAAGCTTACTGTATGCCAGGAATGTAGCATACAGGAAATAAAGCCTGCTTCCTGTGCTCAAGTGTGCTCTCCCAGACACCCCAGGGACCCTTCATCTTCCTAAAGCCAGCTTTCCGGCTGCCTGTCCAGTGCTCACACCCACCAGGCGCTCCCTCCTGCTGCATCCGGGCCAACACCTGGCCCTTGGGTTTGCAGTCGGTTTTTCTAGGCTCTTCTACTCCCACCCTGCAGCCCTGCCTGGTGGGTTTCACCACCTCTGACAACTCCAGGGACTCCCAGCCCTGAGGAGAAGTCCACATTCCTTAGTGTGGCGCCAAGGCCCTCGACCGCCAGACTCAGGCCCCGTTATCCATTCCTCTGCCAGACCCAGCTCAGGTTCACACGCTTTCCCAAATGGCCCACACGCTCATGCCTCTGTGCCTTTGTGCATGCTGTTCCCTCCACAAGGCCTGTCCTTCCACCCTGTGCTGTCCATCCCAGCTCAGATGTCACCTGTGTGCAGCCTCTCCATCCTCCGTGGCGGAGAGTTGCCCTCCCGGTGCTCCCTGGGCCCCCTCTCAGCACAGAGCCCGTGAGTTTACGTACCTGCCTCCCAGGGGCTGTGAGCTCTGCCAGGCACGGACGGGCCGTCTGACTGCTCACACTGGGGCACGGACCTGCCTCGGGACAGCTCTCACTGTTACCTTAGACTGTGCTGTACCCTCACATTACTTCCCGAGGTTGTCACCAGGGGTGCACAGCCCCAGCGTGGGGGACTCCTGGCTGACAGTGAGTGGAGGACAGGCCACTACACAAGGAAGAACAGTCGCCTCCCAAATGCCTGCAAGTGCCCCCGCCCCCCCAAAACCGGGGAGGCTTGGCCCTGGGTGTGCTCACCCCACCCTCAGCCTGTGGGCAGGGGGCTGGCTCATCCTCCCCCACATTGGGCTGGGAGGGGAGGGGTGCAGGTCGCAGCCCCCTGTGGGCTTTCCCAACACACTGCCGCCGGCCTACGTAGGACCTGCCCCCTCTGACTGTACACACTATTTTCATGGATTTGCTAATAAATCCATTTTGTTAGAATAAAAACACCCTGAGGGAGCTGCCCAGGGCCTGACACCGAGAGTCCCATGTACATGGCTGCTGTCCCTTCCTTCCCTGAGACACTGTTTCCAGGGACATAGAAGAGAGGGGCGCCCAAGGAAGAGGGGGCTGAAGAGCAGGAGTGAGGAGGGGCGTGGGAACTGAGGGGGGGACAGGGGAACCCCAATCCCATCTGCTTTAGACTTTCCCCTGCTCCCCAGTACCCCCGAGCCCACCCAAGCCTTCTGCCCTGCCTATGAGATCCTGAAAACTCCCTTCCGGAAAAACCTCTCCTCCCCCCTCTCCTTGGCTCACTCTTGCCCACCATTGGCTCTGCAGGGCTGCCCACCTCTCTTCTCCACTCATTTCCCTTCCTCCCTGTTCCGGAACTCTCCAGGCTACCCCGGGTGAAAATGAGGCCAGTGAGTGAGCGCGAGTGTGAGAGTGAGAGTGTGAGCGTGAGCGTGAGTGTGAGTGTGAGAGCGTGAGTGTGAGCGTGAGAGTGTGAGCATGAGTGTGAGAGTGTGAGTGTGAGCATGAGTGTGAGAGTGTGAGTGTGAGCGTGAGACTGCCGGCTCCCGAAGACGGTCCGCATCAGCCCTCCGTCCTGGCGTCAGCACAGGAACTGGGATGGAGCTCCCTGTCCCGGGTTTCCACACCGCCGAGGAGCACGTGCCCAGCCCAGAGGTGGGGTGTGGTTTGGGGCAGAATCCGGAGGAGGGGCCACGCACTGGGTGTGGGAAGGCCCTCTTCCCGGAGCTGGGCCTGGGGGAGACATCCCCTTCCTGGAGCAGAGAAGGCCTCCGCCCTGCTGGGGGGTGAGGCCCTACCCGGGGCCACGGGAGGGCGGGACAGCGCTCCTCCACCCGCCAGACCTGGGGCCCTGCTGGCCATCACCACCTCGGCTCATCTGAGCTCCAACCGCCAGCACTGGGCCGGGCACGGACTGAGTCCTGAAGACCAGGTACACGCCTCTCTGCACGGAGTCCCTGCCTCTGCCTGAACCGACCTTTCCTCCAGCCCAGCCCTGGGCGGAGGGAGCCAGAGCCCTGGACCCGCCCCTGGTCCCCGACCCACCTCCTCTCGTGTAGCTCCGCCCGCCCATCCGCAGTGGAGAGCCTCTCCGACTCCGGGCTGTTGACCCTCCGGTAGCGCAGAGAACGCACTGGGGTTGTCGGTGAGTCTGGAGGGGCTCGCACCGGAGAGCTGGGGACCCCCACCCCTCGGTTCTGCTCCTCTTCCGCCACGCAGGGGGTCTGCAGGAGAGGGGAGTCCGTGAGCCGGGCTGACAAGGCGGCTGCGGGTCAGGTGGTTTCTTGGGGTGAAGGAGACAGGGAGGGGGAGCCCCAGGATGCAGTGATCCTGAGATGGGGGGCGGGGCAGGCCTGTGGTGGGGAGAGGGCGCTCAGAGGACGGGGAGGGGCCCGCGGGCTGGGAAGGCCGCCATGCCCTGCCCGCTGGCTGCAGTTACTTTGCCGATGTTGATCCGGAGTTTGTTCCTGTTGACATCTGTCTCCTCCCAGACTTCAGCTTCAGGGCCCCCGGGGTGCGGGGCGAGGAGGGGGCCGGGGCCCAGCCCCTCGGGGAGCCGCCCAGGCAGGATTGGGGGTGCGTTCTCCTGGTCACTCAGGTGCTCGCCCTGCAGCACGTCCTCCGTGTTCTCCCGGAGCAGGTCTCCAGGCACCGGCGTCACGTTGACCACCCTGGAGAGGCCAGGAGGGGTGATGAGCAAGGCTGGCATGGGTGCCCTCTCCTGCCAGCACTGGTCCTGGAGATCACTGCCAGGTGGGCATGGGCATGGGCACAGGGGAGGCCCCCGCAGGGGTGAGGGTAGCCCTCGGCCCGTCACCACCCCAGCTCACAAAACCTTTGAGGCCAGAGGGTTGTAAGATGTGGCTGTCCGGACGGGCACAATACCACCTCGGTGGTTGAGCGTCAGCCTATGAACCAGGAGGTCACGGTTCGATTCCTGCTCAGGGCACATGCCCGGGTTGCGGGCTCGATCCCCAGTGGGGGGCGTGCAGGAGGCAGCCAACCAATGATTCTCTTTCATCATTGATGTTTCTATCTCGCTCTCCCTCTCTCCCTTCATCTCTGAAATCAGTAAAAATATATAAAAAGAGAGAGAAAGAGAGAGAGAGACCCAGCTGCTTCCCAGGCAGGCCCAGCCGGATTCCCACTGCGTGCGCTGCTTGGCTCGCTTTAGTCCAGGAGTGGGTCTAAAGAGAAGCATCTCTGTGAAGTCATTTGAGCGACGTCTTTATAGATCTGAGCACCATAACGTGCTGACAAGTCCTGCGGAGTCCCCTTCCTACAGGTATGCCCGGAGCCCCTGCCTGCCTCTCCCTGGCTCGCTCCCGGGGCTGGCAGGGAGCCCTTCTCACGTGGCCACCTTCTCCTCGTGCTTGTCACAGGTGCTGAAATGGCTCCCACCATTACAAATACCCTCGACTCCACTGGGAGCCTCAGGGTTTACCTCTGCACCCCCGGGGGCGGGGCGGGCCTCCGACATGTTTCCTGAGAAATAACACTGTGGGCTCCGCAGTCTCACTGGGGCTTCCTGGCCCCCCCTGAGGACAGCAGCCCCAAATGAGGCCCTAACGCCGCACCCGGCTGAGGGTGCAGATGTGGCAGAACTTCCTGGGATTTGAACCCCGCTGTTGAGCACCAAGAATAGGAGAGACGGCCAGGTGTGCCCAGGTGGGAAGAGGAGAGAGCAGGCAGCTCTGGGCAGAGGCCATACGGCCCCCCAGCCATCGCCCCTCCCAGACTCACCCGAACATGGCTGCTGTCTGCCGCGTGTTCTGCTGGGGCGGGGTGGAGGTGCTCGTGGACAGGAGCGCGTCCGTGCCAGCCTTCTCCCAGTCGAAGGCCTCGTTCTCCGCGATGCCCCTCTCCTTCATGCTGTTCTCAAACACCGACATGATCAGCTGCAGGGGCGGGGGTGGCGGGAGGACAGAGAGGTGACCCTGGGCTCCCGGGAGGAGGGGCGTTGCTGGGATTGCAGTGGGGGGAGAGGGGCCTTCCAGGGCAGGGAGGGCCAAGAGGAGACATTGGAAGGAGAAGGGCACATTGATTTTTGAGTGAAAACATGCACATAATATGCAGATCAGCATGCAAATTATCATCTTGGTTTAAGCCCCTGAGACCTGCCCCCTGTAAGGCTCCAGAATCCTCAGCTATTTCCAGCATCTCAGCCGAAGCGACAGCAGCTCCAAACCACTGTAGTTCCCCAACCCACCACCTGGGGTCAGCGGTGTGCACGGGCAGCTTCCTGCTGCCATGCCTCCCGCCCACCTCTCCTCTCTGAGGCCTTCCTGGATCCCCCACCACACAGCTCCCTTGGTTGGGCACAGTGCATGGGCTCCACCTTCACACCCACCTGCCAACTCCACACTGTAGCCGCCAGCACAGGGCCCAGCACAGGGTGTGCTCTCAGCCGTTTGGTCTGGGGGACCCTATGAGGCTGAGCTAAGAAATGGGGCGGGGGGAGCAAGAGGGGGACAGTATGGCCTCCTACTGCCCAAGTGTGGCATCTCTGCCAGCAACCAGGGCTCTGTGCTCAGCTGTTTTCCCCACTCTCTGATCAGGGTCATGGGTCCTACAGGGGTGTAGGGTGGCGCCTTGGAAAGAGCACTGGACTTGGAGTCAGATGTGCCTTAGGCCAGCCCTGCTCCTACCCAGGCTACCAGGCCTCAGTTTCCTCATCTGTGACATGGGCACAGTCACCCCACTTGGACTCCTGCAGAGTTTGGGTGTAAAGTGCTTGAAAGCGCTTGGCTTAATTGTTGAATGCTGGAACAATGACATAAGGAACACACAATTATCACCAAAGCCTTGTTTTGAAACTTAAATAAATTAATGCATGAAAAGCACGGAAAACAGGGTAAGCTCTTGATAAATCTTAGCTATGCCTACTGTTCATGAGAGTGCAAAACAGTTTCGTGCAGTTGGAGGACCAGGGGGAGACGGCAGGGGCGCGGGCCTCGGCGGGAGGGTGCTGCTGGCCATGGTCGCCCACGGAGAGGTGTCCGGGGACGCAGGCAGGCGGCAGGCTCCCCCACCTGGTAGTCAGGCTTGGTGAAGTAGTCGAGGCTGGCGATGTGGTCCAGGAACAGGTGGAACTCTGAGGGCATGTGCTTCAGCAGCATCCGGTGCTCATACTTCTCCTTGATCATCCCTACCTGCTCCTGGAGGCAAGAGGCACAGAGAGATGGAGCCCCACTGCCCCACACCCACCCGCCGCCTCAGACCCAGCTGTGCAGGCCTCACCTTGTCCTTGATCTTCCTCCAGGGCAGCTGCCCCACTGCAAACTCCACCAACATGTAGAAGAGGGACCACAGGTCATCGTGGCGGCCCATCTCCTGGGGGTGGAGAGATGGGGGGGGTCACCCACAGCCCTCAGGTCCTTCCCTGGGAGCAGGAGGCTGACCCTCCACTGAGGCACTTCAGTCAGGGAGGCCTGACACCCAGGCGTCTATGGGCACAACTGAGGTCTCCCTGAAGCCATGGCTCTCTCCCCGATCGGCCAGCACACCGAGAATCACAGTCAAAACTTCTGTGTGTGCTGCCCGGCTAGGGTGGTTCAGTGGTTGAGTGTCGACCCATGAACCAGGAGGTCACGGTTCAATTCCTGGTCCAAGTTTCGGGCTTGATCCCCAGTGCGGGGCATGCAGGAGGCAGCCGATCGATGATTCTCTCTCATCATGGATGTTTCTCTCTCTCTCCCTCTCCCTTCCTCTCTGAAATCAATAAAAACATATATGTTTTTTAAAAACTTCTATATGCTTTCTCACCCCACAGAGATTGGTGCTGGGAACAGAGAGGAGAGGAGCCCCACAAACAAGGAAGAAGGGGAAGTCGCAGGCAGAAGCTCCCTCCAATTGGGGTCGCTGGAATGGCAGCCTGCAGCCCCTGCCCCATCCTTCTCTCCACGCCTGCAGAGCTGCCCACTCCACCCTCTCCCCCAGCAGCACACTCTGCCCCGACCTTACTGCCCGACGCCCCTCAGGCCCGGCTCTGCCACTCACCCGGTTCTTGTGGGCGTTGACCGAGGCGTACCGGACAGTCCCTCGAAACCCGGCCACGTTCCTAGGCTGCAGCGGAGAGAACATCACCAGGAACCTCGCCTGCTGCCCCGACCTTGGCCCTGCCCAGCCCTGCTCACCACGCCCGCCTCTGCCTACATGAGCCCTGACTGCCTCCCCAGGCATCCCGCCTCCCGTCACCTTGGCCTGGTCAGGAGCAAACCTGACACTCCAACCTCAGTCCTAAACCTGCCTCCTGCCCGTGTCCGTCCTTGACCAGAGGGGCAGACAGATCGCAGAGTGTGGGTGTGGCAGCCATCCAGAGTCCAGGCTGAGGGAGTGAGGGGATGGCCAGGTGTGGACCCACAGTGGGGAGCTGCTGGTACCCAACACGAGCCGGGCCTGGTCAGGCGGCAACAGGGAAGCGGGGTGAGGTCCCCAGGAGGCCAGGACGGCTGTGAGGCGATACTCACGGGCCGAACGTCCCCCGTGGTGTTGGTGTACTGCCGGGCCAGCCCGAAGTCCAGCATGTAGCACTTCCTGTAGGTGGACGGCAGCCGGCCCATGGCAAAGTTCGACTGCAGGAAGACAGCAGTGTGAGCTGGGCTCCACCCCTACCTGGCTCACCTCACGGGGCTCCGGAAAACAGAGTGAGGGACCCTCAGCCCACGTACCCTCACACAAGAGTAAAACGCCAGCCTGCAGCCGGCACAGCACCTCATCTGAGGGGCGGTGGGATTCTCCCCATTTTAGAGATGAGGAAAATGAAGGTCGAGGAGCTTAGGGGGCCACTGATGGCTGAGCTGACAGCTGAAACAAGGTCTGCCTGGCTCTAAATCCTTGGGACTCCCCAGTAGGACAGGGAGGCTTAGTCTAACTAAGGAGTAGGGCACCTACAGTGCTCTTGCTCTGTGACCTCGGGCCATTCAACCACCCTTTCTGAGCCCCCGCTTTCACCCCTTAAGAATGGCACTGTTCTCAGCCAAGAGCCAAGATGTCACACACTTAGCTACTTGGAGTTCTTGACGAAGGCCCAGCCCTGGTCCCCGTCCCTCAATGCCCCCGTGCTTCCCCGCCCTTCACCTTTCTAGTTCAAGGACTCTTCAGGTCGGGGGAGAAGGAAAGGGAGAGTACAGGAGAGGGCCCGGGCATGGCCCGGGGCGGACAGGGCTGTGTGCTCCTGCGAGGCAGGTAAGAGGCAGAGGTGGGGCTTGGGATGGAGGAGAAGCCAGGGGCCCCGAGAGGGAGGGTGTGGGGCAGGGCAGCCCTCACCGGCTTGATGTCTCGGTGCAGGAAGCCCACGGAGTGGATGGCCTCGATGGATTCCAGGATCTGCTTGCCCAACCGCAGCGTGGTGCGGGCCACCCACCACCACTGGGCCACTCTGCCAAGCCTCGCCCCCAGGCTGTGCCCACTCCCCCTCCTCCTGGGGCCGCAGTCTCCCTTCCCCACTGCCCCCACAGGAGTGGCAGCCCACGCCCCTGGGTGACTGGAGGGAGGATGCGTGGGCCACGCGGACTCACCTGGAGCTGCATCACCACGTAGTTAAACTTCTCGTTCCGGCCGCAGCCAATGAACCGGCACACATGGTCTTTCCCTGAGGACACAGACAGGCGGATCCCAATTCCCCCTCCTTCTCACTCCCACCAGCAGGTGGGCTCCCAGTGTATTCTGGATTCCTGGTCCCCCTGCCCTTAGTCCCATCGTCACTCTCACACTCTGGTCCTCTCTTCCCTCCACCACACTA